GCGTTCATTTATGAGAGGCAGAAGTTCAGTAGTACTAGCCTTTTAAATGAAATCTGCTTATGTACACTTGGAATTACTTTTCCATAAAGAGGTAAGACGGCAGAGCTTGTGAATCTCTGGTATGTTGTCCACAATGGAATAGTCCCTATCATAAATGCATTCGTGAATTGCGTATCTCGAATTCTTAATCAATCATAAATGTACTACCATATGGCTTAACAGCGTTTGCTTTAGTGAACTAAAAAATTGGAAAAAAAATTTCCAAAAAAGTGCAAGTTGGAAAAGTTGAGAAAAAGTTGAAAAAAGGCAAGCATCCTTTTTGTTCTCCAATTTTAATCCTTTCTTTGGCTTCCGCTTTTTTGTGAGAGTGCAAGAAAACTTTCAACCATACGGAGTAGTTAGATTCTGCGAACTTTGTAAAGAAAAAATGCCTCTCCGCTTTCTAAATGCAGAAATGGTTTTATTCTTGTTTTGCAATTAAAAGCAATCTTTTCCGATAGAGTTCTTTCCACTTACTCTGCTAAAACGCGTATACAGGGCTTCATCTTCTAGAAGTCCAATGTGGACCACCTTTCGGGCGGATTGACCCATAATCCAACCTATACTCAGTTTCACTGCTGTCTGCACGAAATGGAAGCATTTTCGATCTGGATGGCCAGCTATATTATTTGAAATGAAGTGAGAACAATTTCTTTGAAAAGATATTTACGTGTGTTGAAAGACCCGTCCGTAAGGCAGTGCATTTAGGTTTCATCAAGTAGACTCATCTAAACATAGTGACAAGAGTAAGGCGTGGAGGTGGTCTCTGCTTTTACCACAAATGGTCATAAGCTTCCCTGCTAAAACAAAAAGAAGGGGGTGCTCCCGATCTTCATTGGTTTTGTTCCGAATTATCAAATGAAGAGCAAAATATGCTCAGGAGCAGATACAACCTCCGCATATTACCCAAGCACTCTACTGCGAAAATGCCTCCTGGGTAAACGAGAGACAACCTTTGCAGACTACTATGGACTTCAAAATACTCACGTTTCCATGACATTATTTCCATTTTGCTTCAGTATTCCTCTAATACTACAATCCATATTTTGGAGCTGGCACTGCTCCTTTTTCAAATGGACAAGGGTACAGTTTCATGTAGGATCATTTGTTCCAAGTATTCTGATTAGACCGCTTGGAGTTTCAGAACTAAACAATTCAGCAAAATAAGTGGGAAGACCCCATGAGGAGAGGGGGGATTTTTAC